TAACGTTACTGTCCTTCATTAGTTACAGGATTAAACCAGGGCACTATTATTTGTGCATTTGTATAAAGTCGCCCTCCTGTTATGTTAGGAGTCAATAGATACTTCTGCTCAATACCCAACTATAAGAGATCATATGGATGAGATTGCACACTGCAGTAAATGGCACCACACATTAATGCACAAGACCAAGACAGTTTTTTTCCATGTTTTTATTGTGTGTTTTGAGTCCTTTGAAAACCTGAAACAGAAAAAAAAAAAAACACTATTAGAGAATTAAAGATTAAGGAATAAGGATTAGATTAAGGAGAAACTAAACAAAGTCTAGTTTTTATTTTATTTTAAATAGTTTAAGTGAAGAGGCAAGTACACCATTAATTATGTGCTTCATACAGATCGCTCAGTCTTGTATGAAGACAGTATGGGGACCTTTAATCGGTAACACCTGTATCACAGTGGCACTGTGTGTGGAATACATTCAAAAAGTGTCGGACACATTCCCTTTAAAGACAGGCATCATCTAGTTCGATCTAACAAGACAAACTAAAACCTACAATCTAAAATCTACACTATAGATAGGACATTTAAAAAAAATGATACTGTGTCTTTGCAACATATCTTGTGGAAAAATTGTTACCATATTTTAATTTGGATGCAATCTGCATTTAAATGGTTTCAACCAGTCAGATTTGTTCTTCCCTCTTGCAAAGAATGAGGCATCTGTAGCAGATGATTTAAGATGGATGGCTAAGATGTGGTTTCAGACATAGTTGGCTTATTGTCAGCTGGTTTTCACCATAGTCGATAAGATGGGGAAAAAAGATTATGCATCATTAACCACACCTAATGAGCTTATGCATACTTTCAAGACCTGCAATGTTCCTACAACTCACCATAACTTCAGTTCATCCTCCTGATCATTCTGTTGATCTGATCCTCCCTGTTGCCAGCATCTCCTCCCTCCACAAAGTGTGTGGTCTTCTTATTCATACCACCACGGGGTGAAGACAGCTTGAAGGGCCACAGGAAGTTGTTGGCGGGCTTGAAGTTCTTTCCAACTGTGTAAATCTCGTGGATGAGGTCCTCAACGCAGATGATGCCATATTTGCCTGCAAATCAAAAAGCAATGTGCTTAACAAGTTGACCTGCACACAACCACTTTCACTTGAGAATGTGAAGTCCACAAAAGGCAAGACGTGCTGACTTCACACATCAATTACCAACTGAGAAAATGAAGTCTGCTATTAATGGATCCTAGCAGTGAAGTCACTGTTAGACTGGCATGTGGTTTCAGACAAAACTGGCTTAGTTTTCAGTTTTCTCACCATAGTCGATAAGACGGGGAAAAAAGTGTGCATCATTAACCACATGTAGCACTATGCCTTCATCTAACAGTACATTAAGTTGTGATTCTTCTTTGGAAACTCTGTTTGTAGCTACAATAACTACCTTAACACTGCCTTGATCAAGACCACATCTCTAAAAGTAGAGAAATAATGAGGGTTTGTTCAAGAACAATCTTCACCTCATATGCACCTGTACACTGCGCAACAAGTTAACAGTAAATGTTCGTCTACATACCGAGAGCCTTCTCCACCAGAGCGTTGTCTGTGAGGGCAATGCGCTGTTTCCTCATTCTGCCATGGCCTCGTTTGTAGATGAGCTCACGCACAGACTTCAGGTTGGGATAACTGGGAGAGGTGACAACATGTAATAAAGGTTATGATATAGCTCACATCTGTTATATCCCACTACATTACTAAGGCATTGTTAGAAACTTTGGATTTCCATTTAGCCATACAATTCATCTTTTTCCACTGATCTCAGTTTGAGGTATTCACATTGTACTTATAGCACTTATTTGGTTGTGACTAGAGGGTCTACACTGATTGAAGATTTCAACCCCTGACAAAGAAAAAGACCTCATGGTACATATCAAAATATCCTTCATGTTACATTACTGATTAGTGACACAATCAGTAATGTAACATGATGGATATTTTGCTGAAATGATAGTTACATGGTAGTGTACACTCAGATGTAGTCAGACAGCCTGCATCAACATTTCAATGGCATGTATGGGGAGCGTGTCCAACCAACTGCACTCTAATCTTCATCACAATCAAGCAGAGATTTGATGTAATGATATAAATCTTAAGAGATTAAAGACTTGTTATAGAAAAACACTAGACATTTGAGGCAGACCTAGGAGACAAAGTAATCATATATTGCACTATTATGCTTCGTTTCTTTGCTAAAAGTCAGGTCATTTAATCTTTTACAGCACTAAGCAGTGTCAAACAGATCAGAAACATTAACTTTCTATCTTATACTCAACATCCCATTAAAGAGATACCTTTGTGTAGGCATGCTTAACCTCCTGCAATTAATTTTGACATTAGGTCTGCTTTTTATATCAACTGTTGGATAGTACTTATTCCCTGACATTTGAAGTGAAGATACCCAAGAACCATGGCATTAGGTGCATTAAATATCAGATTAGGTTCCACTTTATTTGGATATTCC